GCAGCCCTCAAAGGAGCAGGCCAGGTGGTGACCATTATAGCACAATACCAGCCTGAAGGTAGGCTAAGACCCGCTTGCCGGAATACAAGGCTTGGGGTGGGGGTGGAGGCATGGAAAGGTCATCTTCCAAACGCTGAAAGCTGTTCGTTTCAATGTTGATCTCTGCCTTAGTCCTTCATGTTGTCTGCTGACTTTGAAAGCTGTTCCGGGAAAGAATTAAATTATTAATGCTAGGTGAAGAATTACGGCTTGTCTGTCAGTGATCATGTTTCATAAGGATTCAGTTAATGAATAGTTCAGTGGTGTCAAACTTGATTTCATAGAATAGAATAGAATAGAATAGAATAGAATAGAATAGAATAGAATAGAATAGAATAGAATAGAATAGAATAGAATAGAATTCTTTATTGGCCAAGTGTGATTGGACACATAAGGAATTTGTCTTTGGTGCAAATACTCTCAGTATACATAAAAGAAAAGATACATTCGTCAAGAGTCAATAATCATAAGGTCCAACACTTAATAATAGTCATAGGGTACAATAACCAATCAAATCATACTAGGAAACAGTCAATATAAATCATAAGGATACAAGCGACAAAGTTACAGTCATACAGTCACAAGTGGGAGGGGATGGATAATAAGGAGTGATGAGAAGATTAATACTAATAGTAGTACAGACTTTGTAATAGTAGTACAGTAGTACAATAGTTGGACAGGGTGAAGGGAATTATTTGTTTAGCAGAGTGATGGCATTTGGGAGGAAACTTTCCTTGTGTCTAGCTGTTCTGGTGTGCTGTGCTCTATAGCATCATTTTGAGGGAAGGAGTTGAAACAGTTTATGTCCAGGATGTGAAGTGTCTGTAGATATTTTCACAGGCCTCTTTTTGACTCACGACAGGTCCTCGATGGAAGGCAGGTTGATAGTAACTGTTTTTTCTGCAGTCCTAATTATCCTCTGAAGTCTGTGTCTGTCCTGTTGGGTTGCAGAACCAAACCAGACAGTGATAGAGGTGCAGATGACAGACTCAATAATTCCTCTGTAGAACTGGATCAGCAACTCCTTGGGCAGTTTGAGCTTTCTGAATTGGTGCATTCCATTCATTCATTTCATTTCATCAGGATTATATTTGACCTTGGGGGGCTGGAGTGGGCATGGCTAGCTTGTCGTCACTTGTGTCAGGGGTGCCTGTGGCAGTCCAAGCACTCTGCAAGAGAAACGGGCTCCCGAGCCCCATTTTCGGCCATGACAACCTCCTGCAGCCCTCTACCAGTGACAACAGCTGAAAATGGACGTTGTGGGGGACCTGTACAGCCCTCCCAAGCTCTGTTTTCACTCGCAGAGGCAATGCGAGCCAGTCCTTTGCTGTTTCCAGGGTGGCCCCGTGGGCCAGATCTAAGTGTCCCACAGGCTGGATCCAGCCCACAGGCCTTGAGTTTAACATGGGTGTTGAGTTTTTTAAAAACATTTTGCTTCTCATCCAAGAAGCTGAACTGAAAAAGCTTCTTGGATGAGAAGCAAAACGTTTTCAAAAACAAGGAAAGAAAGAAAGAAAGAAAGAAAGAAAGAAAGAAAGAAAGAAAGAAAGAAAGAAAGAAAGAAAGAAAGAAAGAAAGAAAGAAAGAAAGAAAGAAAGAAAGAAAGAAAGAAAGAAAACCCCAAGAACATCCAGTTATTTTTTGGAAGAAGCACCTTTGGGTAGCTATTATAAAGGCAACAAAATCAGCACCATGGACAGTATCTCTTCTAGTTTCATTGCATGGCTGATGGGGTAGTGGCCACTCAGCTAGAGCTGACGCTAATTCAAAACTCGGCAGACCTGGTCCACTATAATTTGCATTAAATGTCTGAGGGTTCAGGTGAAGCTTTGAATCACCACGAAGATTAGATTCCATGGCTTTTCAACCCAGACCATGAAGCTTTTGGGCTGCTTCTGCAAGTAGTGATGGGATGTCCTTCTCGCCCTCTCAAAGGGTAGGTTTTCCAAGAATGTGCGTTTGTTTGCCTACTTGATCTGCTTGCCTTCATTTTCTCTGCTTGGACATGTTTCTCATTTGTCTCTGCAAAAATGAGGGGGAGAGGCTCACTGACCAAAAATCAAGATCACGTGAAATGCTAATGCCAGTTTATAATGCCTTGATAAGACTACAGTTGGAACACTGCATCTGTTCTGACCCACGCCCTTTTCCAACAAATCAAACACAATCCAAAAGGAACCGAAACCTTGTAATGCTTTTACAAAATAATTAGCTGTGATAAGCACAAGCCTTGCCAAACTGCGCGAGACTTGCCAAAAGATAGCAGACAAGAAATAATTTTCAGTAGAAGAATCTTCAAATACAAACTCAGGATACTGGAATGTCCACGAGGCTGGAGTTTCAAAATGTTTTTGCCTTCTGCAAAGTATGTTCATTTCACAGCTGGCTTTTATCTTCTTGAAGGAGGAGCCATTACCTTGCAGCCTTACTCCTGAGTCGCCCATGCTGTTGTAGCTGCTCTTTCCTCCGAGCAATCCTGCGCGCATGCTCACTTGGCACAGGCTCCTCGGGAACCTCCTCATCGCTGCTGCCAGCCCCCACAATCTCTGAAGGCAGCAGTCCACTCCCTAATGGTCCTGGCCCCTCATCTGAGTCCTCACTCTCCTCAGCCATCCACACCTGCTGCTGGCTAACCACAACAGTGTCCAGTTTTGGTCACTACAATATTAAAAAAAATGTTGAGACTTTGGGAAAAAGTGCAGAGAAGAGCAACAAAACTGATTACGGGGCTGGAGACTAAAACAGATGGTGAATAGTTGTAGGAACTGGGTATGGCCAGTCTAAAGAAAAGAAGGACCGCAGGAGTCATGAGAGCAATATTCCAATATTTGAGAAGCTGCCACAAAGAAGAGGGAGTCAACCTATTCTCCAAAGCACCCGAAGGCAGGACAAGAAGCAACAGATGGAACCTCATCAAGGAGAGAAGCAACCTAGAACTAAGGAGAATTTCTGGACAGTTAGAACAATTAATCAATGGAAAAACTTGCCTCCAGAAGTTGTGAATGCTCCAACACTGAAAGTTTTTAAGAAGAGATTGGATAGCCATTTGTCTGGAATGGTACTGGGTCTCCTGTTTGGGCAGGGGGTTGGACTAGAAGACCTCTAAGATCCCTTACAACTCTGTTTTTCTTATTCTATTTCAAGGGTGTCAAACTGGTGGCCCACGGGCTGAATGACCACCCCAACACTGCAAAGGGGAAAAACATAGCAAAACATCAAAGTGACTGCAATGTGACATGGCTAGTTTGACCCCCATGTTCTATTCTGTAATGTTAGAATTCTCTTCTTTGTACTTGGCTTCTTATTTACCACAGTATTCTAGTTTCTTGGGCTACTGTAACTTGCTGTTGTCCAGTGTTATCTGTCCAGTATTATCTGTTGTCCAGTATTATCTGTCTCTTTGTACGCTGATAGCAGTAAGACATGTATGTTTGCATCTGTTCCCTCTAGCAATATCAAGATATTTTTTTTCTTTTGTGTACAGAAGATTAAAAACTCAAGGGGTTTTCAATCCATCTAGAATACTTTCAGTTGAAAATGTCGACGTGCACGACTTTATTAGTGTCTCAAGGAATAAATCACAAAAGGATCCAAACCTTTGAACAACTTTGACTTGTGTAAAGTTGTAAGTCATCAAGTGCAAACAAGCAAGGAAAATTATTTAGGACGTGGAGCGGTTGAACCTGCTGATGTGTCACATCATCTTAAAAGCACAGATCATGGTAGGCAGGATTTTATTTCAAGAAGGGATTGGGTTTCAGAGAGGCTGTCACTGTCTGTGATTTATATTTTAGGAATGTAAGTTTTAGTTAGCGAAGTACTGTAATTACAGTTTCAAATTTATAAGGCCAACTTTAGTCAAAGCCATCTCTGAGTGATGTATGATTCAGATTCAGATTAACAGAGTTGGAAGGGGCCTTGTAGGTCATCTAGTCCAACCCCCTGCCCAGGGGAGCAGGAGACCCTACACCATTTCTGACAAATGGCAGTCCAATCTCTTCTTGAAAGTCTCATGTGACGAAGCTCCCACAACTTCCAAAGACAAGCTGTTCCATTGTTACTGTCAGAAAATTTCTCCATATTTCCATGTGTAAATGTCTCCTTGTTCAGTTTCCATCCATTATTCTTTGTCTGGCCTTTGGGTGCTTTAGAAAATAGCTTGACCCTTTCCTCCTCTCTGTGGCAGCCCCTCAAATATTGGAAGACTGCTATCATGTCTCCCCTGGTCCTTCTCTTCACTGGACTAGCCATGCCCAGTTCCTGTAACCATTCTTCATACGTTTTAGTCTCAAACCAGTCCAGATCTAAAGCAAACAAAATAAACAGAAAAGGACAACATGTAACACGGGAAACACACATCACAGCTAAAACAAGCCATGATAATGACCTAATCCAGGGTTTGGAGGAAAAACCAAGTTTTAAACAAAAGGAATTGTGTCCTGCCTCAAGAACCAAGCATGATATGGAGTTACTTAAGATTAGTTCTTTATTTAAGATTAGCTATTTAGAAGGCCAGATCCTGAAGAGGAAACTCAAAGACTTTGGTCCACCGAAATGAGAAGGAAGGACTCCCTGGAGAAGAGCCAAATGCTGAGAACGATTGAGGGCAAAAGAAGGAGACGGCAGAGAAGGAGGTGGATGGATGGAGTCATTGAAGCAGTCGGCGTGAGTTTAAATGGACTCCGGAGGATGGTAGAGGACAGGAAGGCCTGGAGGAACATTGTCCATGGAGTCACGATGGGTCAGACATGACTTTGCAACTAACAATAACAACAAAGATTAGTTTCTTTACCTATAGACAGAATCTTGCCAGATCTAAGCAACTATTAGCTTAAGATATACACTGAGAACAGCTGGGAAGGAGACATAGAACATAAAATAGCAGAGTTGGAAGGGACCTTAGAGGTCTTCTAGAGCAACCCCCTGCCCAAGCGGAAGACCCTATCTTATCATTTCTGATGAGGGGCTATCCAGTCTCTTCTTGAAAACCTCCAGTGTTGAAGCACCCACAACTTCTGG